CAGTGGCGGGAGCACCTGCCTGTTCTGGAGAACTGAGAAAAGCCATCAGAGTGCTGTGTGTGCTGGCACACTTCGCTGTGTGGGCATCAGTTGATGTCACACACCAGGCCAGTGTGGTGGCCTTGAGTGGTGAGGGAGCAGGAGGCAGGTTCAGGATACCCTCCAAAAGCAAGTGTAAAAGCTGGCACCCCAAGAGGCAGCGCTCCCAGCAGCAGTACCCTGACCCCACCTCCCTCCCACCCCCAGGGAGGCTGAGCCAGGGCCTGACCGCGCTGTGGCCTGGGTCTGCGGGGTGCCCAACTGGGATTGCCCCCAGCGCCTGGCCCTGGCATGCATGGAGCCGTTCAGGAGGAGGGCAGGGCCAGCACAGGCCCTAGTATCCCCACAGACTCTTTTTCCAGGGAGACGTGGCCTTAGAGGTCAAGTCCAGGAGTGGCCTTCAGGGGCCTCTGCACCTGGTCCTGGGTGCTGCCTCTGCAGAGCTCAGAGAGGCCTCAGGCCTGGCCACAGATGCCGGCCGCTCAGTGGGTAGCAGGTTTCTGGAGCCTCAGGGCTCCGGGGTTCTGGGTCCACCTGGCGTTTGGGGAGTTTGTTATTCAGACATGGAAAGAGAACAACTCTCCCAGGAAGGGATTTTTCTTTCCTTATGAGAAAGGCCGTGACCCAGATGTGGGGCAAGAAGGACAACGCGGCGTCCTCATCGCAGGCGGCCACGGAGGAGCTCGTGCTCTGAGCACACATCACGCCGGCTTTTTCCCTGATGGCGGCTCACGTCGGAAGCCAGCGTGTAGAGCAGTAGCGGAGCCTGGCCAGCCATCCCTAAGCCATCTCTAGGCTCCGCTCCTGGCTCCCATGTAACGCTCCCACGCTGTGGCCCCAGCCCCGGCCCCCACAGCTGCGGTTCAGGCACCCCTGGGGCAACCTGCTCACTTCACAGAGGGGAAGCCAAGGCCAGAGAGACCACCCCAGCTGTGCAGCCCAAAGAGGCCAGGACTGGAGCGAAAGCAGAGAGAGAGGAGGAGAGCATGGCCCCAGCCCACTGTGGCTGACATCACGCCAGACTGGCAGCAGGCCTCCAACCCCAGCCAGGTTCCTGAGCCTCTCTTAGCAGTGGCGAGCATGGCGTTGCTTCCGGGGGGCTGTGGACTTTCCTGTGGGCGCACCTGCAGCCTTCATCTATCTCAGAGAGGACCCCGTCCTCAGTGGGGTCAGTGCCTCTGTCCGCCTGGCATGCGGCCACAGCGCCTCCCTCCGGAAGAATGGCCTGGTAAAGCTGGAGTGTTAGTGCCTGCTAATGTGCAGGGATTTCTCCAGCAGAGGAAGACACAGTGAGAATCAGGCGGCATACTGGTAATGCCTGTGTTCAAAGACACACTCGTGAGCGAGCTCTGCCCCTCGCTCACCTCACTGCTGCCCACAGAGACTTCACAGAGAGCTCGGCCTTCAGATGCCTCAGCAAAAACAAGACCTCCTTTCCTCTCCTCGACCGCAGCCTCTTGGATGGAGCTGCGGAGGTCTGGCGCTTCTGAGTGGAGCCGTGCCTGGCGCCCGCCTGGCTCTCCCGCGTCAGCTCCGCCCAGGGCAGCTCTCAGGCCCCGGTGCCTCAGCAAAAAGGGCTTCCCCAGGGATTTACAACTGTGCCGTCTGTCTCCTTGCCCTAAAATTTGTTAAAATCTTCATGATGTGAGCAAGCTTTTTTCCTTTCTTCAAAAAAAAAAAAAAAAAAAAAGCGACATATTTAGAGTAGACTGTGGGTCCCTGGGATGCTGGTGCCCCCAAGTATTTTTCTCTAATAGAAATATTTCGTTTTGCTTTTAAAAGGAATTCCCCATTCACCTACTGTTCTGATTGTAGCGTGTTTGCCTTATGATAGAAGAACACCCCACATGCAAACCTGAGTGGGGCTGGCACTCCTGGGTGGGGCTGGCACTCCTGATTGGGGCTGGCACTCCTGAGTGGGGGATAGAACAACACGCCACATGCAAACCTGATTGGAGCTGGCACTCCTGGGTGGGGCTGGCACTCCTGGGTGGGGGATAGAACAACATGCCACATGCAAACATGATTGGGGCTGGCACTCCTGGGTGGGGCTGGCACTCCTGATTGGGGCTGGCACTCCTGATTGGGGCTGGCACTCCTGGGTGGGGCTGGCACTCCTGAGTGGGGCTGGCACTCCTGGGTGGGGCTGGCACTCCTGGGTGGGGCTGGCACTCCTGAGTGGGGCTGGCACTCCTGGGTGGGGCTGGCACTCCTGAGTGGGGCTGGCACTCCTGGGTGGGGGATAGAAGAACACCTCACATGCAAACCTGCATGGGGCTGGCACTGCTGAGTGGGGCTGGTACTCCTGGGTGGGGCTGGTACTCCTGGGTGGGGCTGGCACTCCTGAGTGGGGCTGGCACTCCTGGGTGGCGCTGGCACTTCTGGGTAGGCAGGCTGACCCTGTGGCTTCCATGGCTCTGCAGAAAACTCAGGCTTGCTCTTGGCACAGGGGTACCCATGCATGGCGTTTGTGTTTTGGGAAATGCAAAGCATGGAGATAAGAAGTTGGTCCCTGATATGTGTGAGTCCCAAAGGCCCACAGAATGGGACGTTGGCAGAACAGAACGAGCTGAAAGAGCAGAGTCTGCCTTGAGCTGACCTAGGCGGGAGGCCCCGGGGGTCAGCTCCTCCACGCTGGCCTTGGCTTGGCTTGGCGGAGGCACGCAAGGCCCCTGGCTTTATCCGTTCCTCTTCTTGGCCACCCTCCTGTTTGCTTTCCACCACGGCCTGTCTCCTTGAGGTGACAGCATGGCTGCCTCTGCACCAGCCATCACGTCTTGATACAGAGAAGTCTGGTGCCAGGAAAAGGGAGTTTAGTGTTTTGTTTTGTTTTTCTGAAGACAGGGTCTCCCTCTGTCACTAAGGCTTAAGGGCAGTGGCACGATCGTAGGTCACTGCAGCCTTGAACTCCTGTGTTCAAGTGCTCTTCCTGCCTCTGAAGGTGCTGGGATTACAGGCGTGAGCCACCATGCCTGGACAGGAAAAGGCAAATTTCTTTTTGCAACCTTTTGTCAGGGACTAACACCTTTCTGGAAGCCCTGAAAGACTCCTCTGTCATTAACTACCAAGGCAGCCATTGGGACGCATCCTGTGAAGCCAGATGACTTCTGCACAGCCACTGCCTTCTATACCTCGAGCAGGGTCTGGTTAGGAGAGGTGCCAGGCAGAGGTTGTGCGGGCAGCCAGGAGCATTTGCACATTTCAGGATGGCTGTGCAGAGTGTGGGACCGAGAAGCGCGGGTCCTCACTGCAGAGGGAGGAGGGCAGCTCGGCTTGCTGTTGTCTGATGGGAGGGCTGCGTATCCCCTCTCTCCCCGACGTTCCCTCTCTCTCACACACACATTCTCTTGGGTTTCTTGAGCTGCTCCCAGGATTAAATGAATGTCTTGGTTCCATGGTGAGCATTTCATACTGGAGAGCTAAGTTAGTTCATACTGCTCGTTGGGATAGAAGATACCGAGGATTAGAAGTCAAAATTCTTGAATCTGCAAATGTTTTTAAGACAGGAGCCTTGCTTATGTCACCCAGGCTGGGGTGCTCACTACAACCTCTGCTTCGAGGGTTCAAGCAATTCTCCTGCCTCAGCCTCCCCAGTAGCTGGGATGACAGGTGTGCTAATTTTTTTTGTATTTTTAATAGAGGTGGGGTTTCACTGTGTTGGCCAGGCTGGTCTCAAACTCCTGACCTCAGGCGATCCGCCCGCCTCGGCCTCCCAAGTGCTGGGATTACACGTGTGAGCCATGGCGCCCAGCCTGCAAATCTGTTTTGTTCAGACACTAACTCAGCCCTGTACATGGTCATCCAATGATTCCAGCAAATGCTGTGACGATGCTGATCTGCCTGATTGCCTACCGTGTTTGTTACCTATTGCTATGGGAGTTACCTACAAACTTAGCAGCGAAAACAACAGACAGCTGTTATCTCACACAGCTGCTAAGGGTCAGGAATCCAGGAGTGGCTTAGCGGGCGGCTCTGGGTGTCACATGGAGTCACATGGGGTCAGTGTGTCGGCCAGGGCTGCGGTCACCTGAAGCCCTGTGAGCGGGAAGGAGGGGCTCCCGGAGGCCTGGGGAGCCTGCAGCTGCCCATCACGCTCTCTCCTCCTCCAGCTTCACGGAAGTAAGGGCTGAGCATCTTCAGGGCTGAGCTGGGCAGTTCCCACCTCTCAGTCCACAGCTTCCCACAGAGCATGAAGGGGCCACACCCGGGCTGGGATGGGCCTGCGGCCAGGCCGAGCGAGTGTCCTGGGCCACCTGTGCTGGGGACAGGACTTCTGTGTCTGGTGCCATGGCAGACGCATGGGCAGTGACTGTCAGTGTATCCCACTACGGCCCCGTGACCCTGAGCGAGCATGCATCGGCCGGCGTCTGTGGCGCTCCCTTAGAGCACCCCATCCCCATCCCTGCATGTTGTCGAGGCTCTCCCGGCGCCCCAGGAGGGTTCACAGGGCCATGCTGTGTCCGGGGGTCCTTTGCTCTCGTCTCCCTAGTTTAGCCTTTGAACACCTGCATTTCAGATTCAGAGGTTTCAGGCTGGAGAGACGTGGAGGGACTGAGCCTGACTTCCTGGAGGATAAGAAGCGTCTTACCCCGCGGCCCTCCCAGTGTGGGGGCCCCGAACTTGGGAGCCACCTTTCAGCCAATGTGGCTGCCGTTTGGAGCGACTGTGGCAGGTGCCTGTCCTGTCCGGCAGGCAGGGTGGCTCCTCAGTGTTGAGCCTGCAGCCACGCCCCACATGCCACCTGGGGGCCTCTGAGGCCAAGCACAGGCTCTTGCTCGCCGACTCACCCACACCCAGCCCCTGGCCACAGTGGTACTGGGACACTCTCAGGTCCCTGGTCCTGGGGGTCCATGCTGGGGTGGGGCTTGCTGGCTGCGTCCTGGCCGGCCCTGGGACTCTGCCTGTTTACAGAGAGCAGCTCCTGGCTAAAAGCTGCTTATTGGATTAGCCGCTGCCCCGACGGCAGAGCCCGCAGCCGTGCTCGGGAGGAGGGACCTGTGTGTACGTCCTGCTGCAGCGCACTCCTGGGGTCCCTTGCGTCGGTCCCTGTGGCTGGAAGGACAGTACTCGCCACGCAGGTGGCACCCGGGAGTGCCCGGCACCCACTTCCTGCCGAGCAGATGCTTTGGGTAACCTCGGCCCCTGCCAGGCCGGGGCAGCTCAGGCCGGGTCCTAATCCCTCCACTTGAGCTCGGCTCCTCACCCTCCGGCCAGGCTGACACCTGCTCCCCGCAGGCTCCTTCTCGCCGGCTTCAGGCAGCTCGGGACCCGGGGGCCGAAGATGCTGATCAGCTACCCGGCCTGCCTCTTCTCGGGGATCTGCGTGGCCCTGCTGGCAGTGGCTTTGGCCTATTACTTCTACTGGTGAGTGAGGCCGGGGGCTTGGGCAGTCCCGGGGTTTTGCTGTGCGCTGCCTTCCTCTCCCAGCTCTGGACCCGTTCTCCGCATGTCAGCAAACAATGCCAAGCCCTTTGCAGGGGACCTCCTGGGAGGTAGGGAAGTGGGGGCAGCAAGAGCTTATTCAGATCCTTCCTGGGGTCCTTGGGTGGCTCTTCCATCCTTCTGCAAAGGATTTTTTGTTTGGAACATTCCTGAAGGAGCTCAGGGGAGCTCAGGGGTTTCGTACCATCTGGGGCATTCATAGGTGCCGGCATGTCCTGGGAAGGATGAGCGGCTGCTGCCTGGGCACAGACTCCCGCTGCCCCGAGGCAGGTGCTGTGGGGGTGTCTGATAGACATGGCGATCTGCGCCCCAAGCAGAAAATGCATAGCTGCCATCAAAGCGGCCCTGCTCCGTCACACCCATTGCCTGGTGGGCTGGTTTACGGCGATTATGGGCGATTTCCCGGCCGCCCTTGGCCAGAGTCCCTGCCAGCTCTCCTCACAGAGGTTGGGAGTCACAGGTGTCACAGATCACGCTGGCCAAGGACCTCAGAGATTCCGTCCCAGCCCCGCTGCGTCTCCATGGGATTAGACAGGTGTTTGTGCTCCGGGCCTCTAGTTCTCATGGGCAAAACAGGACACCGATGTCGCCTGCCCCTTTGCTGCAGAGGGTCAAAGGGCACAGGACGCATGTCAGCCTCTGTCCGTGGAGTGTGTGATGATGGCACCATGCGGTGCAGGGGGCAGCTGGGGGAACCCAAAAACCCTGCCTGGGTGCTGACTTTATTTTCTAGAGCCGGGGAACGGGGTGATTCCTCAGAAGAGACCGCGGCTCTCCTGAGCGTCCACTCCAGATTGTGTTTGTTTTTCTCAGCGCACACTTGGCCAGGAGCTGCTTCTCTCTGATCTGGAAGCTTTCTCTTCTCTTCTATAGATCCGATTAATGTGCTTCCATTTCTAAGGGCTGGGAGGGTCACTGAAGGCAGGGCAGGCAGGAGGCGGTCCAGTCTTCCCTGCGACTCAGTTTATGTAAAGACAATGGATACTGTTTATGAAGAGCTTTACCCAGAGCCAGAAGATAGAATCCTAAGGCTGAGGTGGGAGGATCCCTTGAGCTCAGGAGGTCAAGGCTACAGTGAACTGTGATTGTGCCACTGGACTCCAGCCTGGACGACAGAGATGCCATGTCTAAAAAACAAGCAGAACCTAAATGTGAAATTTAGGAGTTGAATTGGCCCAGGATTTGGGGCTTCTGGGAGTTCCAGTGAGGGGGCAGACATTGGTGAGGATTCCCAAACCCCAGGACCAACCACTCACTCTCCCTCAGCTTGGGGCCACCGTGAGCGTGACGTGGGCCACGTATACAAGGCAGGCTGGTCCTGGCGAGCGGACCATCTTTTTCCACGCTCGCCGTCTTTCCCAGGCCATTCCTGGCACCTGGGCAGAGGCTGGGTATCAAGTCATTTCTTGGGATTCATGGCCGGGCTATGCGGTTTTACAAATGCTCAAGATGATGGAGACCCGTTAAGTGTTGGGAAAGAGCACCTCTGTGCTGCCTTGTGCCCGAGCAGCTGCCAGTAATTGGCTTACACCGAGCCTCTCAGCTTCAGCCGCTGACCAGGTGGCAGGGGACTGGCTGTGCCTCCCCCTCACCCACAGCGTTTCCAAGGATGCACATTTCTCATCTGCCCTCGGGTCTTCAGCGAGTTATCTGTGGGACTGCAGGATTCGAGCATGGCCTGCCCTGTGGCCGCACACCCTCGGGTGCCATTCAGCTGTACTTGCAGTGCGACCGGGGAGCTTTCCAGAGCTCACGGCCTGTGAGGTCCCTGTTGGCCCCGTTTGACCTGGAGGGCCACAGAGGTGGCCTGGTTTTTTTTTGGGGGGGGACAGAGATGTTGAGCCTCATGGTGGCTGCAGGGCCTGGGACAGGGTGATTCTGTGTTGGCAGCAGCATGGGTCCAGGGAGGCCTCACCCGCTCCCTCCCAGAGCAGGAAGGAGGGCTGGCCCTGTGTGGCCTCCACTCGCTGGGAGTCTGGCATCCTTCATGAGGCACTCCTGAAGCACCTGCCCACCCTGCGTTCGCCATACATGCCTAGGTACCAGCAACAGACAGCAGGGAGCCTGTGATGCCAGCTCTTCCTGGAGACGCCCTCCCTTGCGGTGGCCACTGGTGTCCAGCATGTGACTCTGAATGTGGGGTTCCAGACCAGGACCCTCCATGCTCAGTCCACAGCCAGAAGAGTGGCTTCTCATTCATCTTCTAAGACCCGCTCTTGATGGGCAGCAGGGGCTCCGAATGCTGTGAAAACCCCACAAGCAGCATCCAGGTGCCCAGCCCTGCAGCCATGCCTGCCAGCGGTTGTCCTGGGCTGCAGTGGTCAGGTGGGACCTTCTATTCAGCCCCCTTCAGTGGCTCACTTCGTGGGAGGAGAGTGGCGGGGTCATGCCGTTGCCTGGTCTGGGCCCCGAGAGACCTGGCAGGACCTCTGTTCTGTGTCCCATCACCTGCATTTTACAAAGAGCAAAGCTGTCCTGGCTGCCTCCGAGCCCCGTGCCTGCTGGAGATGGAGGAAGACAGGCCGTGGAGCCTCGGCCATCCACATCACAGTGGCGGGGGAGAGGCCCGCTCCCCAGGGCTGGGTGGCCAGGGTGCGTGGTCACGCGGGGACCTCATTTTCTACTTGTAGAACAGAAACCTCCTTCCTCCCTCCTCCCCTCCCGTAGGCTTTTTTCAGTCGCCTACCACATACCAGGCACTGGCTAAGCCGAGGACGCACGTGGTGGGCGGGCAGTCCCCACCCTCCTGGGGCTCAATTCCCCAAAGCCCTCAAGAGAAAGCCAGTTTTCCCATCATTAGCTTCATGCTCAGCTTCGGCTTGCAGCCATGCCAGCCACCAGGCCACACTGAGCATCTGCTGGGACACCTCGGGGCCCTGAGCCTGGCCTGCACCATGGAGGAAGGGGCTGCAGCTGCACCCCCGGGGGTGGAATTGGGGTGGGGCGGGCCTCGTGCTGTTGGTTTAGGATGGGCGGTAGCGTTCTCAGCAAGGTCACAAGCCTGCGCTGTGTTTAACATCAGGGCTAGAGTGACAAGGAGGGAGCGTTTTGCTGCCTAAACCATTGCCTGCTGCTGCTTTCACCTGGCGGGGAGGGTGAGTGCCCGGCTGGGTGGCGGCAGCCTCAGGAGGGTTGCGTGAGGCTGCCTGGGGAAGCAGGGTCCTGGCGGAGCTGGGCATTCTCCTGGGCCCTCAGGCGGTGGCATCCACTCCAGGCGCCGCTTCTCTTAAGGAGTTGCACCTCGCTTTTGAGCCAAGTATGAACGCAGCTGCAGCACCACGTGCACCAGCGCCCCGGCTTTTCACCCACTTGGCAGAACCCGAGTCCTAAAGGCCACAGCCCCACCCCCCGCTTCGGAAATGCAGGCTGAGCGGAGGCCCCGGCCCTCGCTGCTCTGGAGCAATGGCCCTTTCAGGCTCCAGGAGGCTATCAAGTGGTTCCTGGGCCGGCCCTGCTTCGTGGCTGGGCAGGGGCCACATGTCCCTCCCTCGTGGGCCCTGGTTGCCTGGAGTCTGGAGCAGAGAAGCAGAGGAAGGAGGGAAGGTAAGAGGTGGCCTGTACGTCCCTGCCTGCGGGCGCCGGCCTCGCTCTCCCCGGGTGCTGCCTGCAGACTCTGGGGCCCGCCCTTTCCCAGAGAGAGAGGAGTCCACGGGAATAGGCGTGGGGCAGATCCGGCCCCTCCCCTCCTCCTAAGCAGCGCTGATTGACAGGGGAGAAAGACAGAGACTTGTTCCCCGGAAAGGCACAGAAAACCAGGCTGGTTCCTGAGATGGGAGACGGCTGTGCCAGGAGGCAGGCAGGGGCACGGCTGTGCTTGGCCTCTGTGCAGTGGGAGTATGAGGGACAAATTGCAGAACGAAACTTTGGTTTCATCTAAGCTTTTTGGGGAAAGCAGAAGAGGAAGCCCAGGAGGAGGTGAGGGGACATTCAGGTGTGTGGCGTCAGTACTTTTCCATGATCACCTCTCGCCTCTAGAACAGGGAGGCAGCCAGGCTCGGGGGCCAGACGCCCTCACAGCTCCCCTCCCCAGCCTGCCTGGAGGTGCTGTCACTGACTCAGCTCCAGCAGGCAAGGGTCCCTCAGGGTCCACTGCTGGGGCTGACCCCAGCAAGTCGGACCCTCTCTCAGAAGCCACAGACTGCGTCTCGCCCAGTTCGGAGGCACCTGCTGGGCTAGCGCACACCTTAACAGCACTTGTGGCAAGGTGGGCAGGGCAGGTGGCCCTCTGGGTGACGGTTTGCGAATGCACGCATTCAGCCAGCTCCGTTTTCTGGACTGGGGACAATGGCAAAAGGAATTAGAAAGCCTGCGGTTTTGCCTACAGGGTCCTGGGGTCATCCCGGGGTTACACCTCTACCAGGCTTGGGGTTCTGTGTGCAATTCCAGGGGAGACCCACAGCCCGTTGCACACTCCTGACAGCCGTTACCACAAAGAAAATTTAGCTGACCTGTTTGCACCGGGGAGTGTCTTCATTACACATTGCATTTCATTCATTCCATTTCATGCTGGATTGGTTTGAGTAATGGTTTGGAAACTATCGTTTACTTCAGAATGTCTGTGCATCCGAGATTTTCTGAGTTTATATCTGGACAGGCGCTGTAATGATGGACGATGGCCGAGGTGCAGGGAACCCTGGTTCCATGGCTCAGGACAGGTCCAGCCTCTCTGAACCCCGTGCCCACACACAGCCCCCTTTCTAGGCCTTCGTGTCTTGGGTCGCTGCTGGCCCTAGGAGGCGACACTCTGCAGCTCCCACTTGTCCAGGCCGAGGGTGGCTGTTCCGAAATCCACTCAGTTTATTCCATCCTGAATCAAACCCTAGTTTAAATGTGTGGCTCAGGGTTCCTATTGAATGACAGGTGTGGCATTTGAATTGGTAAATAATGAGCACACCTTTAAGGTCTGTGCACTCTTTGCTTAA